CTCCCAGCCACACTGCGCTATGGGAGAGCTCCAATTACGCAGGGTCTGATTGGCCAAGCGGCACCCATGACCGGTCACTACTCAACGTAGGCGCCTCACATGAGATGTCTACGGGGCGTAGTAGACAGACCATCTGCCCACGTCCCGTACACGTCTCATCCTTCACGAGCCTCCATGACGCAGTGAATGTGTCGCTCACCGCTCCAAGCTATGTCCTGCGTAAAAGCATGCCATTGAGTCGGATTGAGCTGGAGCAAGTTGTGTGACAAAAACATGAATATCCACCGCAGTTACATCAGCAAAGTAGGTGCAGAAACGATAGCGTATGATCGTGCACTGGGTCATTTGTAGCGTACGGTAGTTAGTGCTAGCGAAGACAATAGAAGGTAGATTAGTATCCAAAGAATGCAGTATCCCGTATTGTACGGCCGTCTGCTTCTTCCGCTATCAACTGATGATCGATTCTCGCGGGCAGGGCTATCAGGTCTGAGTGCGCGCGCGACCGTATATCGGTCATCTGTGGCGCATGAGATGATAGCGCTACACGATAAGAGGTCAGAGTTAGCGGAGGAGATGACAGAGAACCTACAGCACCCTGCGGAAGATTATCGTCTTCCGTCGTACACTGGGGCTCGCATCTAATCACACATATATGGTTCAATCGCGCAATAATCCATTTGGGGTAAATATGAAACAGCGGGTATTCTACACAACGCACACATTAGCAGAACAAAGAACTTACGTAGTCGGTGAATCGTGATGTAGCCGAGTACTTGAAGCCTCTCAACCAGCACATCTCCCCGAATTGAAGGAAGTGTTCCCTATCGTGAGTACTATCGAAGTGGTCAGTAACGGCCTGTAGAGAATTCGCATCTAGAGATTGCTTACCTGATAGAGGAATCAGTGTGGAGAGCGCAGAAAGGTGGGTTGAGTGCGGCGGGATAGACAGGTCGGGCACCATGGGCGCGAAAGGGTTAATTGGTTGGGGGCAGGGAGGTGGTCGCCTTGAGCGTAGATGCTCGCGTCTTCATTGTCTTCGCTCCCTCACTCCTCACCATGCTCTTCCTGCGGCTGCGTCGCAAACGGGGGAGGGGAAGGGGGTGTGAGGCTGAAGGAGAGGTCAGCGGGAGCGGCGACAGGGAACGCGGAGGAAGAGAGACGCATCCACTGGGTGAACTGGAACGCCTTCACGAGCCGGATCGTCTCCTCGACCGAGCGGTTGATGGGGAGGTTATTGATCGTGATTGCTTGTCCGGCCCCACCGAACGCACGATCAGCCGTCGAACGTATGCTGCTCCAATACGGACGCACCTAAGGATACCTTCATAGAGTCGATGAGAAAGGACCCGTGGAGGGCGATCATGCCCTCGTCCTGATGAAGATGCCGTAGTTGTGAGAGATTATCATGTCGGGGCGCGCGATGAGCAGGAGGTCCGGGCCACTGAGACCACCCTGCTTGCGAGTACAGCGAGTCGATCGAGGGCACACGAATTGGTGATAGGTCAGTGGTTACCGATGGAAGCAACGTTGAGTCGTTGACACTGTCGGCAAGGCTGAGGAATCAGTGTGAAGAGGAGGAGAAGAGGCGGAAGGGGATATTTTAACCAAAGTTCACACCTCGTGTGGACGGTGGCTCATCACATGTGACCGACCCGCCCCTATAAGCGCCATAACTTGAAGCCTCGCGTTCAGGAGGTGCACCGAGCTCACCCCGTTGCGAACCACACCTCGTGACTCATGTCGAGTCCGCAGATGCGGAAATGTAGAGAGAGGGTGGTCGTGTTGGCTTCGTGGAGGTGGAACCTAGGACGCAGAGTGGCGGCCGTGAGGGCGACGAGACGTCTGACATGAGAGGAGCCATGTCGATGTCGAAAGTGTGGGTACGGTGAACGAGATGCTGGGAGCAAATAATGATGAGGAGCTCACCACGTCTTGATACATGGTCGTGCGCGAGCGTGAGTGGCACATCGCACTTGGGGGATGATGGTGGTCGCGGGTTGAGTCCAGTAATAGGCGGCATGCCTGCACACGCGTCCATGTCTCGGAACAACCGAGAGGAGGTCAAAGCGGGACGCCACTGCGGCGCCGCCGCATCGAGTCACAACAATTAGCAAGAAATCACCGTAAGCAACCTTTGGACTTCAGAATGTCGCTACCAACACGGACCTCCATATTAGTAAGTCTCCCAGCGATATATATCTTGACTTAACTCTCGACCCACTCACTGCCCTCGCCCAGTGCCCAGTGCGGGCGTTTGCCGCGCTGCTCGCGACGACGATGGCGTCGAACAGAGCGCTTCGCTGACCCCCATAGTGGTGGTCCGCGGGGTACCACAGGCCTCCAGCCTGGCCCGACGATCCACATGGTCACCATTCCGGCCTTGAGCGCAGTGGGGGTGCCGTCAACCCACGCATGGTTGAAGTCATCGACGACAAGAATCGCAATGCGGCGTGATCGTTGGCTCGCGGTGAAGGTGGCGAGCTGGGAGAGCTTCGCGGAAAGAGGGTCCGGCGTTGGATCACGCGGGTTTAGAGGAGAGTCGAGACGGGCTCGCCGACGTTCTGAACGACCTGCTTGGCGAGCTCGAAATCGACGTTGTTGAGCAGCTTCAATTACGTATTGTATGCCTACAGTTGCCACAGCGGGAGGCCTAACTTTGCGGAGAGAATGGAATTTGACAAAGAGTGCATTGAATAGCATGTCTGGCAGCCGGCATCAGGGACGTAGAAACACAGAGAGGATAGACGTACAGGTGTTCACCCCGCACATCATTCGATAAGAGCGCGGGATTCTACGGTCGGACATGACCCACATAACCATGCGTGCGAATGAAAAGCGGCATGCCCTGAGCGAGCGTCGCGGTGACGGCGAGGTGCGACCTCGCTATAGCTCGCGGTACGTATAGAAGCGGATAAAAGCGTCGACGTACCACGCTCCCCCCAGGAACCCTGGACGTTGCTGAAGCGCACATGGCTACAACGGGCGCATGCGTATACTTGGCCGCCCTATCGGGGCACCTAGGGCAAGCGAGATATCCCGACACGGTATGATTTAGACGTCCACCATGAGAGGGGGTGACCAGCGCACCTTGGAATACCCATGAGCACTGGCCTCACGAGCACGGACCACGCGCTGGGCGTAGGACGAGCCAGGTTGCGATGCCCAAACGACCCCGCCGTGCGATGCTACATTTCTCCTGTAAATTTCAAGAGCTCGCGCTCGCATGTGAGCGTCGTGCGGAAGGTCGAGGTCCTCCAGGTGAGTGTCATGGTTTTGCTCCCGCGCATATTCTGCCACCGCGAGAGTGAGGACTTCGTTCTATGTGCAATGAACTATTTGCTCCCGCCTCGCTGTCTGGGAACTGGGTCGCTTCAAGGAACGCAAGGGGGAGATGAAATGCGCACCTAATGGAAAACAATGCTCAAATGAGCAAGGACACGAGCCGATGTTCCGTGTTTGGATCGCGTGTCCCACTTTAGAAGCAGACATTCTGATGAAGAAGAGGATTTTCATAGCACGACGAGATGCCGCAGAGAAGCGAAAAAGAAGAAGCGTCAAGAACAAACTAGGGGGACAGAGGAGGATGGGAGGAGGCAAGGTGGGACTCGCCGTCGCCGTCGCCGGACAGCTTCGGAGGACTCCGCGGCCCGCAAGCGATTGAACAGGCGCCCGCGCCGACGTCCGTCCATCCTCGCGCGCACCGTGTTCTCTGCCGCGCACACTGTTCGCGTCCTTGCAAATCGAATGTATAGCTCAATGCGAACCTCTTATGCACCCCACGCGTCCCATGATTCACCCTTGAAGGAGCGCATGATCATAGACGGTCATCGACTACAGCTTTCTGTTTAAGCTACTAGTGCCGGTAGTAAATACATCATATCCTGTATGCGGCCACAAAATGCGATCAAATTTCATAGCAAAGACGAATGAATGTCAGCTGCTGCCGTTCTGCTACCATCATTTGTCGTGCAGACAATAGACGACCTGTCCCGATATGGCGGTGTCGCGTGCTATCGGGCGCTACCGTGGAAAACACCTTTTGCTGATGTAGAAGCGATGCCCGAGGCGATAAGTTTTCCATCTGCAGAAAGCGTGCGCTTCAGTAGTCGACGGATAGCCACTTGAAAAGGAATTTCACAATGGGCTCGATAGCAATCGACAGCAAGATGCGGGGGCGTTCAGATGAGGGTTCAGCAAACCGTACTTTATGGAGGAGGAGTGGGAAGAAGGGGTGTCCTCGATGCGACGTAACGCATCGTCCGGAACACGTGGCCAATGGCTCTGAAAAATCCAGTGATGGCAAACTCCTCCCTGTGAACGATGCGTGAGCGTAGCTTCCATGGGCTCATGTCAGCGAGGATCTTGCTGAAGTGCTGAGCGACTTCTTCCATGGTAGGCCGCCTGGAAGGATCCGTTTGGATCATATCCGCTACCAACGACTCCAATATCTCGAACCCATGGCTTTTCTGCAGACAGGTGTGAGCCCCTTTATGGGTTTGTATTCGGATACTCACAAGGATGAAATGCTGCCGAAAGAGTTCGCCTAGATAGTACACGTCGGTAGGGAATGGGTCATGCGGCTTGTCGGAGTCCTGGAACTTAGGAACGGTCCGTACTCTACCCTAGACCGGAGGCTTGCGAGGAGATATGCAGTTCTGTGGATATCTACGCGAGATTCCGAAGTCGATGTAGCAATATTTGGGTCGCGCCGCAGTGCGCGTGGTGCGCGTGATCTTGCGACGGAAATCATAGCTCTTTTTGTCGAAGATGGGGTGCGGTATCTCTGACAGAAATGGTACGGGGGACATCATCACGTTGTTCCTCTTGATGTCACTGACAAAGAACACGCATCAGATTAACAGGGAGGGTATAATACGTGGTTCTACTGACCGATGAGCGACGCGATATTCATGCATAAATTGGAGGCCCTGCGACCCGTCGTCAGTTACATACAGTTCAAAGTCAAAAACGAGCCGAATCCTGCCTCTATAAATTGCCGTATGCATTCGAGAGCTTCCCCCATGGTGCCAAAACGCGGAGCGTTGAACGGGCGAAGGGATTGAATGACGATAAAGACTATGTCATCGTCAAGCGGGGATTGCAGAATGTCGTAGACGGGCACGCAGTGATTGCGAGGGTCCGAGGCGAGGAGCCCAGCAGAGAACATGCGAGAAATGTCAACTTCGTACGGATTTGTGCTCTTGGAAATACGTTTGATAACAACGACTTCGCCGTTTGACATACGTATGGCGTCTGCCCAAGGCCACTTGTCGGTGGCGTTAGCGTGATAGATGCACCCAAACAGAAGACGTACAGATATTGGTCATCCGTCTTCACAGAAGACCCAAAGTTTCTTGGTACCCGTCCAGGAGGGTACCCAGCCAGGTCGGAGGCGAGGGCGAAGGAGATACCCATGCTTTTCAAGCCATTGCTGGTGATCCCTCCACTGGACCTCGTTCGGGAAGAGGAGGGTATGGTCCCGGGGCTTTTGATCCTCGTCTGCAAGCCATGCCCTGAACCTTGCGATGGCCTGTTCTTCATCCATAATCGTACAGAGATGTGAAATAGACCCGGGAATGTGGAGCAAAAATCAAGACAGGGACAGGGACAGAGACAGAGAAAAGGATGAAGGCTCAGGAATTGGGAGGGAGTCGTGGGGACGAATTCAAGCCGCGGCTGAAGCGCTGACCCTCAGGAGAGACTTGGAGTGACAGCCCATGTGAGCTCTGGCAAATTCCGGGCTCACGTCACTTATTAAGTCTTATTATTGGGACGGTATGCTTCATCCACGATGCCGTCTGCGCACACAAACCGTCACGTATGAGATGCTCCTAACTTCGCTCCGTATCGCCAGAAAGTGCAGCTTCCAGAATAGCCATAGATTTGGTGCTCCGACACCTATATAATCATCTAGTTCAGGCCCGTCCTTGCTTGACAAGAACAAACAGCTTCTCTGTGTTGTCATACTAGAGAGGGTCTGCCGACCTGTTCGGAGCGAACTGCGTACGGCTGAGCAACCGACAGAAGGGACTCCGCCGGCGCCCCGGATATTCCGGCGCCTCTTCCCTTGCATGTCCGCAGGCCCTGGCCAGGTGCGTTCTCTACGTACGCCCCCACCCGTGCACCCAACTCCCCTAGACGCGTCTTTCGCAGTCTCGCCATGGTCCTCCCACACAATCTCTGCTCGCACATCCAAAACGCGTTCCGCACGCGGCACCAGCGCATCGCCGTACACCACAACACCCAAAACCTCGCCATCCTCTCTATCCTCCTCCGCAACGGCTTCCTCTCCAACGTCACCCGCGGCACCATCAAGGCGCCGTCGCCCGACGACTTCCTCCTCGCCGGCGACGCGGAGAAGCGCATATGGGCGGAGCTCAAGTACCGCGAGGACCAGCCGGTGCTGACGGGCATTGAGCTCGTCAGCAAGCCCAACAAGCCGGTGTTCATGGACAGCAACGACATCCGGCGACTGTGCACGGGACGGCACGTCCAGAACGTGAAGCCGCTGCGGATGGGGGAGATTGCGATCGTGAAGACGCAGAGCCGGGAGCACCAGTGGGTGGAGGCACGGGAGGCGTTGGAGCTGAGGCTTCCGAGAGGAGAGGTGATTTGTCGGGCATGGTAGGAGGGCTGCCTATCATACTGGTGAGTAAATCTAGACCTACCGCGCCCGCCTTTGCTGACGGCCTTTCATAGGCCTCTCATAGTATATATCACACTGCACTAATTCGTGAACGCAATTCACCAACCTCCCGGCATATGCATGCTGCACAAAGCCCAGCTAAATCGAGCGTTGGAACACGGCGCGTCTCTTAAGACTCGTACTGCGTTTGTGAGATGGTTATTACAAAGAGGTAGAGTTCGGTACTGGTTAGGGGACACTAGGTTCTGGTGACCGGTGAGCTCTATGAACGCACATTTGCAAGTCCGCTTTGTGGAGGGGTCGAACTGGGATGGTTAGATATGCAAGCGACAGAATGTCGCATGTGAACCCGTCGTAATCGTACACTCTGTATACACTGCTCCATCCAACTCATACACCTGGCGGGCGCGAAGAGGGTCCTATACGAGTATTTCTCCTCGACGCTTTTCCGCCTCCGGGCTTCTCCATAGCGGCCTTCAATGCACGAATTGTGGAAACAATCTCGTCTGAGCACGAGATCACATCAGACATGACCCAGTTACGGGCGAGGTATAATTTCGTGAACTCACTGGCAATCTTCGGGTTCTCCGCCTCGAACTCGTAACGCTTGTTGCGCTCTGCGCCGCTGTGCACGACGAGCTTGAAAGTCGCAGCATTTTTGCTCGACTGTTGGCACGCAACGACGCTCTTGAGGTGATAAGATGATGTCTTGCCGCTGTCGAAGACGTGCTTCGCCTTCGTGGCGCCTGGGATGATCTGGTATTTTAAGTCAGTGCTGGAGAGCAGTCCATTATGAAGAGTACACGAACGTGAATGTATCCTCCGTCGATCGTGAGTACACGGGCACTACGCGTTACCATCATCGGCAACTTGCGATACACGGTGTATTTCTGTGGAGCTGGTAAGCACACGTCGCAACACGAGCAATACACCGCTTACCCTGTAGGCCTGCATGAGATCGAGCATGCTGCTGAGAGTCTGCTCTTGAATGGAGACATCGGTAGTAAAGATCGACGCTGATGTAGCAAGTACGGTCAGCTTTTCGTCCGTAACGAGATTTGATGGACGGACCGTTTGGATCGTTGGTGGCCTTGCGCTCACGCATTTCCACACCGTACTCGTGAAGCAGGTTCTTCTTCATAAGGATGAGGTCGCGTCTCCCTTGAAGACTCCTGACCGTTCGGTCGAGTGGGATGTTCACTTTGGCCTCTTTGGTCTCGATCACGAGCGCGTACTCCTTCGGATCGGTGAAGCCGCGTTTCTGGTTCTGACAGACTAATTCTAACACCTCTTGCATGTACATGCCGCCAGAGCTGCAACCGTTGTATGAGTGACATCCATGGTAAAGGAATGCATGAAGTTGCGTACGCTTGGATCGTGGTAGAGACGTGGCCTGGCTCGTCGGCAGAACCGCGATGCGGATACGGAGGAAGAGCGGAGGACCCGAGCTCGAAGAAGGACCCAACGAGCTCGACAGCCCCACTGATGAGCCCATGGAGCCGAACGCGCTGCTTGAGATGCCCAACAGGTCTGCCGGTGGAACGAGGTTTGTGGATGGAGCGGCCTGGGTGAGCAAACCTGTCGACTTCTTCTTGACAACCACGCGCGAGATACGTCGCTGTATTTCGCCTCGAGAATCTTATTCTGCTGAACTAAGGACGAGTTGCGTCAGTGTCAATATCCCTTGAGGTAAGTGGTAACAAAACGCTCACTTTGTGATGGAGTGGCTTCGACGACGGCGTATGCCTCAAGTTGAAGTTCGAGATCTTGCGCATGCGTTCAGGGGCTAAAAGGAGGGGTCAGAGCTGTCGCTCACTCGACACACGAGGAGTTACTCACGAGGCCAATCTTCGTCGACTTCACCATCCTCTTCTGCGATACGCAAGATCCAGCCACTTGCAGAGCAACGTATGTCCCACTTGGGGTCTCCTCTCCACTCAACCCCTCGTCGATCTGGGGCAACCAGCTCTCTTCCCAATACGTCCAGAGCGCGTTACCAAGCACCTCTTCCACCGTGGCGTCCTTCTTGACACTGAGCTCAGCGCTTGGTCCTTGGGTTTGCGAGCCATCGGGAAGAAGACACGGACGATCATACTGTCGTCTCTGGCCGTCCAGATATTGCGCTGTACAGCTCCGTGAACGGGTTGGAGGAAGACGAGCTGGAAGTGGATGCGAGCATGGCGGTGAGGGCAGAAACACCCGCGCGGGCTGGCGGGACAGGGCGTCGTTCAAACATTCCGGCAGGTGTGTTAGCCGTGGCGGAGGGGGCAGGAGCGGGGTCTGTGTCTATGTTGGCAGCGGTGCTTGGTGCCGGGGTGACCATCTCGAACATGGCGTCCAGCTTCCCGTCATCGTGCTCCGGTGAGACTGACGGCCGCTCGCCGCCTTCGCGGACGGGGCTGAGACGGGAGGCGCGTGCACTTGTACTCGGGGGTACTGAAGATTGAGCACTGAGGAACCGACGGATGCGCCTGAGAGGATGGATCCAGTCTCCGAGGCACTGTCCGAGTTCACAGCTGCACGACTTGCGGCGAACTCGCTGTGGAGACGATGGGCATACGCGCAAAGACGAAGGGACTGAATGCACGTACGGATCGAACTCGTCCACCTCTACCGCATCGTCCGCGTCCGCGACCATGTCAAACTCCTCCTCGTCTTCGTCCGCCGCAACTTCGTCCTCCGACTCCGCTTCCGGCTCAGAAGAAGACGAGGACGAGAACTCCGGGTTGATGGGCATGGCGACCATGGGTGCCCGAACCATGCCCGGTCCGTTCGCTCGCGCCGCCATCCGCTGTCGCCTCCGCGCCGCCATCTCTTCTGCCCCCCTGAATTTCGGGATGAACATAAGCACGGGGCCCTTGGCGGGAACGGGCGGGGCCGAGCCATCCTGAGCGTCCTGTTTCTGTGGCTGAACAACGGAGTCCTTGATAGGGGATCGGGGGCTCCTCGGCTTCATGGGGGACGTGGGGGTGGCGGCAATGACCTCAGTGGTAATTAGAGTCTCCTCGTTGCTGCTTTTGCCACCGGCATTCTCGCGGCTGAGGGAGAGGCGGCCGGGATTGCGGGGCATGGACTGGCGCTTACCGTTCACCCTGAGACCCATCGCCCCCGTCCTGGTGGGTCCAAGGATCGTCGTGGTGTACTTCAGGTTTGCACCAGGAAAGCCGGAGTGCCTCCGTCGTACGGCGGGCGCGGATTCGTCGTCGCTGGGAGTGGGGCTGGAGGGCATGCCCAGCTCGGGCCACCGCTCGATATCTGCGAGGCCGGACGCATCGATGTAGGGGTTCGAGTGGTAGTTCTGGTCGAGGGAGATGATACGCGCTCCGTATGGGTCGTCGATGTGCTTTAGGTATTGTACGCGGAGGCTGTGGATGAGATAACTACGGGGAAGTTAAGAGGCGCATTCTCGGGAAGTAGAGTGCAGAGGACGTACTCCGTATCACTAATCAGAGACATGTTTGATTCTTATCTCAGGTTCTCTCTGGCAGAGCCGGCTTTGCAGGTGCTCGATAGCCCTCGCGATGAGTGGCTCCTTGTGGCGAGGCGCGCCTGGCACAATCACTTCGCGTACACTTGCCTAGACTCTGGCAGTATGAGACACGCAGCAGCTGGTGTGGTTTGGTTTGGAGATAGTGATAGCGGAAGACGGGAATTTCGTGACGAAGGGGGTGTGAGAAAGAGGGTCGAGTGTATGCGCGCCGGAATGCGCCCCGAGAAGCACGGAAAACGCGCGCGTCCGTTGGGAGTGCTTTGCCACTGCTCTCCCATAACTCTTCCTAAGCCCAAAACGAGGCTGCACATCGGGGGTAATCTCAGCGCACAAGAGCACGATGAGTCCCCCGCTGTTGCCGTTGGCTACCCATCTGAGTTTCTGCCCTACTAGTCTTTATTCCCGCCTAAAACAAGGAGGGATAACTCGACGCTAAACCTGCACTGCCAGTGCGGAACGGCTTTGTCGCTCAGGTGCGTATAGTCGGCTACATTCCTCAAAAGCCCTGCCAAGTGACGTGACTCGTTCTAGCTTGACACGCCAATGCCACACTGCACATTCGAGGGGACCTACGCGGACATGGTTCACAGTGAGTGATGATCCGGCACCGATGTTTAAGTTTTCGTGGAGCCCGCTCTCTCGTCGACCCCAGCCTGCGTGATCCCTCCTATGTGGCGAGGTTGAACGGTGCCCTATCTTCACCTACACATTAGATGCGGACGTGGGTTTCCACCATAGCCTACGTTCTGTGCACTTGCTAATTCTGGCTGCAGCTCTACACGAGAGCCACTGCGGGGTTCCAGTATGACCTAGTCCTACTCCCATTGCTGCGCCAGGAGGACTTGTTCGCCGGGGGTGCGCACGAAAGCATCCGATATGTCCGTGGTCCAATCTCCTTTCTCATTTCATGTCCCATATCACTACGCCGTCGTCCACTCGGGCAGGAAGCTGCGCGAGTGGAAGGTTGGACGGACCCAAGTTTGCCGGTCTCGATGGGGCGACATCGTGAACATGAAGTGCATGCTTAGGATTTGCGCCGATTAGCTCATCCATTCACCAAACCAAGGTGTCGACGGCAACAACGTCGCTCCCAGCGACGCAGGTCACTCAACGTTCCTGAAACGACCCTGGACTCCGGACAGCACTGCCGCCTCTCGTCAGAGGGAACGTCCGCGGCTCGGAGCGGCGACATACTTACCTACGGTGGGCGATTTGGCACCAGTAATCCTCACCCTAGAGGGCCACCATCGATGACGACAGTGCAGATGATCTTAGGGAAGGCAGGAGCACGTAAAGGTTTGGGCCGCTTAGATCCATACTTCGTTTTCCAAGACCGGAAGGTCGCTTTGAAAGCGAGTGGGGTTTGGTGCATGGTAGGCCCTGGCATTTTGCCGCAGCTTGTAGTGAGGTGGAAGCTTCTAAAGATACGGTAGCTTATTGAGGATGTACAATGTTTGTCCATTTCCAGTCTTATTCGCGTTCTCGTGCCCTAAACACCATTTCCTCGAGAATTGTAGTGGTATGCTTAGTCTTTCTCGTCATCGATGAAAGTGGTGCTGAGGCATCCCGAGCTCAGACCACGCTCGATAGTCGCGGTTGAGGGAAGTGATGTGTACCGCGTCTGGGTCGTCAACACTGTTCTTCAGCCATTGCATGCGCAGGCTGTGGATGAGATAACTGGGAAGCTGAGACGCACATTCATCACTCATGGACATGGTCGATGTCCGTCCCAAATTCTGTTCGGTAGATATGATGCTGGTATGTGCTTCCGACCACTTAAGGGTAAGTCTGCGGCGCTGATATCGTTGGACGACAGAGCATCTGCAATTCATAAAACGAGGCGCAAGTAGTGTACATCGTTCAAAGAAATCTAGAACAGCAATGCGGCGCAGACGGATCTCTCACATCAACCAGTAGGTATTCGCATCGTCAAAGAACTGTGGCACGATCGAGACGTTCAGATGGAGTATCGTGCCTACGATCCAAGTTAGTGTTTGTAACCACTCTATAGCCAAGAAGGAGCTTACACGCAACGCGGGGCCTTTAATCTGGAGCACAGGCACGATGAGGAGGAACAGTCCCGTCACGATTGCGGCTTCGACGCCAAACGTTTGTAGGGCCCCGTTTTTCATGGCCCAGGGGACCTGGAAATACGCGACGGAGAAACCGCCGAGAACACGCGCAAGGTTAATAAGTCCGGAGATTCGCCTTGGTGCCGCGGGAAGCAGTCGTTGCAGTAAGCGTCTTGAGAACACGATTCGGTCAGCTAAGGACGTGCAGGTAGCGTTGGCTCTTATAACACTCACAGACGGCGACAGTGTTTATCATGATGGATACTTCAGCAATTCCCCAGCCCATGACGAGTGCGCCAACGCTGAGGGTCTCCTGGAAGGACGCTCCTAGGAGAACAAAGCCGCAAATGTAGAGCGGGATTGCGAGGTAGCAAGTCCTGAAGGATGGTATGTGAGGAAGGGA